AGGTATGTCTGTTCTGGAAAGTTATTTCCAAATGGCTCCATAGATTGTTTGGGGGCTTAGAATGAAATTAAAGATGTCATCCATAAAAGTGATGTATGTGACCTTAAAAGAAAAAGCCAATATGTAGGAGATTTCAGTTAACTTTGAAGCGGGTAGTTATTATTCCTCTTTGCTTACAGAAGGATTAGGTTTCTCAGAGGCTATTTTCCTTTGCTTAAAACAATATTTGCATAAATAACTTTTTTAGTAGGTTGAAGAGACATGCAAATATTGAAGCCAGATGTACAGCAAGTTATTAAATGATGCTTTGCATTGGTGTGTTGATTACCTGTTCTTGCTTTCTCCCTGTGTTTTTGTAGATCTATGAATCTCCCAGTGTTTGTGGGGGACCTAAAACTCGTGATCAATGAACCAAGCAGGTTGCCTCTATTTGATGCTATCCGCCCACTTATCCCGTTAAAACACCAGGTGGAGTATGATCAGCTTACACCCAAAAGATCACGGTAAGAGGATGTAGAACAATGCAGCTACCTTATATACAAGCAGGAAATAATGACTGAGTTTTCAGATAAATTCTGAGTAAAATATCAGTCACCTATGTAGAGCTGGGTATAATTATTTTACTTTTGCTATATTTGCTAGAAGTACAGTTTTGAGCTACCTGTAATTGTTTGCCAAGTAACTTAATGTAGTAAAAGCAGGGTAAAGGAGTCAACACCAATGCTTTCCAGTTGAAACAATCTTTTCTCATTTTTCCTGCATTTTTAATAATAAAAAAATTCTTATAGGTCTAGCCCTCTAGAAGCAGACAGCTTCAATGGTTGCAGATGTCAGTTCTTATGAAAAATACTTGATGGCTTTAGCTGAAACGCATCCATCCAAACCTCAGTCAACCTGCCTTTTTTTCATGCCTAAATGTTGTAAGAGAAAAATAATGTGTAACTTTCAGATGAAACATTATTGTCACAAAGTGTTGTGCAGCTGAAGAGCCAAGTATCTTCCATTTTTGCAGAAAGCTGAAAGAGGTGAGATTGGATCGTTTGCATCCTGAAGGACTTGGAATAAGTGTGAGAGGTGGAGTGGAATTTAATTGTGGCCTCTTCATCTCCCAGTTAGTTAAAGGAGGACAGGCAGACAATGTTGGGCTTCAGGTAAGAAAATTATATTCATTGTTGCTGTGCTGCAAAAAGCCTTCTGCTATGGTGTTAGGGAAGCAGGCAGTAAGAATTGTTTTTTAATATTTAGAAATAACTATTGCTAAGTTGCTCTTCGTCTCTTGTAATAAAATTCATAAAATATGTAAGTTAATGCCATAGTAAGTATCATTATACCAATGGTAAATCAAGTTGTTAAAAATGTTCTTTTCACCATTTTTAATGATATGTAAACCTCTTTTTCTTATTCGGGATATGATTTTTGAAGACAAAAAGGCTTTCTGGAGTGTTACTACTTCATGAGTAGCAACAGTTAAATGTAAGAAAATGGAAAGAAAGATCTCTAACTAGAATGTGGAAGCGTGTTTTATGTTGACAAATTCTGATTAAATGTAGAACAGCGCATATAAATACTAAACATGTTAATTCTACCTTGCACGAGTCTAATTTTTGGAATTAAGTGTTTATTTGAACTTCATGTGTAACTTGTTGGGGGTTTTGGTTTATGCAACTGAAGTACTTTTTAAAAAAATAACCTATTTTTAACCATTTCCAGTATCCTTTGTACTGCTTAGAATTGTGCTTCCAGTGATTAAATTTTAGATATGTGAACTGTAAAAGAGTTGGCAAAAATAATTGTGTATAGAAACATTTTTTTCTAAATCGGGACTTATGCAGTTTGCATTAATGAAGTTTTGGGTGTTTGGGTTTGTTTTGGGTGTGTCATTTCTTGCTTCTACTTATCTTAGTAAAGAGAGAAGTGAACAATTGCTATGGCAGATGTCTGCATCTTTCTATGCTTTTGAAGCTGATTAGGTGTATTAAAGTTCTGTTTCTGAGTAGAAAGGCTGATATGGCTGGCTACTTTTAGTTTGTTGAATGTGAATAGTTGCTGGAAGTATTGATGTTTAAGGATTGTATTTAACACCAGTCCAAAATGTATTAGAGTGGCATGATTCATTACAGTGTTTAATGAGTTTTGAAGATATGCTTCAGTGTAAGCCTATCACGCTCATAGATTAAAAAAAAAAAATCTGTCGACAAAGCAGTCAAAGCTAGGGTACCATGTTTGTATATTTAATGCTGAGAGCTTTCTAAAATGTAAATAAATGTTTCTCTCTCTGTTTGCATATATGTGCCCTTTTGTTTGTGCATTCGTACCTATATATCCCATTCAGAATTATCATTGAATTAGTCCCATCTTCTGTCAGCCTGCTCTGGACAGATGCATGACTGGCTCCCTGGACGCTTTTAGAAGCTCCTTCCTAGAACAAAACCACAAATATGAGGAATATGCTCCCACAAATTCTGTGTTTAGTTAGAATTGAGAGGGTGGTGTAGGACACCACAAACGCTGTGCTGGATGTGTAGGTAGCCTACTTTTAAGCAGGGGATTTACCAGTGGGTAGCTTAGGAAAATGACATTGATGGACCTTCCCAGAGTCTGCACTGCAACAGCTCGTTTACCTCGTGCATTGTGTTACACAGTGAGACAAGAGACTTGTTCCTGGATTGTGATCAGCTTAGTAGAGAGATACCAGCTGCATCCTTCCTCCACAGCTAGAAGACTGAGAAAAAGACAAAGACCAGTCACTTACATGGCTTTTGAAAACATCCCCTGGAAAATACTGGAGGGCATTAAGGATGCTGAGCAGCCAAGGACTTAATAGCCACTGTCTTAAACTGTCAGGCTGGTACGTTCATCTTAGGCTGTGTTGCAGCTCTGCTTGTTTCAGGCTAATGTTTTGACACGATCAATAGATAAGGTGTTGTGCTTAGTTGTGGTACTGTAAGGATGTAGAATTTTGTTTTTTCTCAGTGTACCAAAAGGCCCTACTGGCTTTCTGTGGCTGAGGCCATCGTACTACATGTTGGTGACTGTGAATGGGATTGTAAAGGATCTTTGGGCTGGATTATACAAATTGTACTGCTACTCGGATCATGGTTAATGTTTGGCAGACAAAGTAGGGACGATAAGGGAGAAATATGCTTGAGACTGACTATGAAGTTGTTAGGGTTAGATTATATGTACTAATATGAACAGAAGGTGCTTTGCAGCTAATGTGGCTGTCTGACTTCTGGTTTTTGATATGTGGTGTTAAAGCTCAGCCTAAAGTGCCTTCATAATAGTGACACTAGGCACTTTCTAAACCCCACTGAATAACAAGGGCTGACAGGCAGTCCATTGTTCTAAATTGCTCTCTCACAGTAAAGCCAACTGCTTCTGAAATTTCACCCACATGCTTTATTTAACTAAATCTCCACACATTTTCTATCTCAAAAATGCTCTCTGAGAAAGGTATAATGATCTGTTATACCATCAGTTTTACATCCTGCTTTTTAAAAATTCCACTTCATTTTGCATTATTTCTCCCTGAAGTAGAGTCCACGTTACATTAAAATGACTGAACAATCATGAAGGCTTACTGAGGCATTTGCAGTTTTGGCCCCTTTTTGACTACAGTTTCCTCTAAAAGGCAAGTGTTTTGTCCCTTCATGAAGAAATGTACTTAATTTTTTTTTTTTTTTCTTTTCACCTCAGCTTTCTGGTACTTATGTCTGTGGGGATTCTGCTGAATACAAAGAAATGGAGATGAGTATGAATGATGAAAGTGGAAGAAGTATACAAAATGCGAAATTTGAAACAACAGTGATTTCCTGGAAGCACTAAATACTCTATTTCTCATGTTAAAAGTTACAAATAATAGTCATTCTACTTGGGAAAAGTTAGGTTTGGAGCCTTTCTTTTGAAAGTCTGTCATCTCCCTGTTTGATAGGGAAAGGGGAAACTGATATATAATAACAAAATAATTGTTACTGTTCTACTCTGCTCTGTGCTGCAGACTTTGCTGTGCTGCTTCTCAGAAGATTGGTATACAGTAATACCAGTACAAAAGTAATAAAATATATGAAAACAACTATTAATTACTTCAGTATATGGACACTTTTTTTTGCAGGAAAAGCTGTTCAAGTGTCCTAAAGAGAAGCAGTTTGTTACGTGCCTGTATGTCTCTTGTAGTTCAGCATAGACTGGGGTATTTCTAAAATGCCATCAGTCACACATTGTAAGTTGGTAACAGAAATGTCATTAGGATGAGTGAAGAGTACTAGAGTGTCTTCTAGTTTTGTTTCTGATGCTCAGCAAAGAGGAATATTAAAAATATCTATATGGGAAAAGCTCATTCCCATATGGGAGAAAAAAATAAAATATGCTCTCAGCTGCATTGATAATTTTGTGTGTGCCTCTTAGGGAGATGATATAATACTAAGGGATGTGACTCGCTTAGTGAATGGTGACATCCTCAGATCAACACTAGTTCTGCTGATACAGAAGCTGTATGGAGACTCACAAATGGCACTGCCATTTGCAGTCCTCAAACTCGGGTGCTTCTGTGTGTTAAGGCATTGCAGTTAGTAACAGATAAGGTTACCCTCTTTAAAACCTGGATTTGTGCAAGCCCGGGCTTCATGGTCTGTTATAGCCTGCATGATACAGATGTGAGTGGAGGAGGAATCTTGAACTAAACTAAAAACAAACAAAAAGCCCCAACACCAATGAATATGTAAGACTGATAGAAAAGTCTAGGTAGATCAAATGAGGTCAAGATTGCGTACTTAAGGTTGAACAGTAATACGCAAACTTCTGGCATTGTTGCAAGTGAGTAATTCAGAGACAGGAATGGAGGAAGCTTTTTGAGCATTTTATTATTGAGGAACTCAACCTTCCTTTGAAAAGCAGAGGTCACTCGCTTTCTTACCATTTCATAGAATAATCAGCAGAATCCTAAGTAGGCTGAGAGTCTTTATGGTTTTTAGAGGATAGTAAGACTTTCTGCATGGGGACACAAGCCTGACTTGTCTCTGAGCCATTTTGCTTCTTGGCAGTACAGTTGCATTGCCAGTGTTAATCCCAGTCCTAAAAATACATTATTTACAATGGAATTCCTGAAGTGATGAGGGCAATGTAACAGCTCTAGACTAAATTCTTGGGTTTGGGGTAGGGAACTAGCTTAGAATTTAGTGGTGTATTTGCAGGAGAAAGAGAACTGCAGTGGCATGGCTGCCAGGCCTGTGGGATGGGTGGTTGAATAGGTAACTGGATGGATGTGATTTTGAATGTTTGGAACAAGTTGGTTAAGCAAGTATTCTTTCATAGTAAGAGCTATTGGGTGCAACACTAAACTGCAGACCCTGTGTGCGTTTCCTTGTCTGGTCCTGCTTTTTTAGCACAGGTTGTACGTTCAAAAGCCTTTAGTACTGGCCTGTTTCCTGTTTTATTAAAGATCATATTAAAAATCTAACTGGCCTAAACGAAAACTGTCAAGCTCTTAGGAGTGCTGCAAATTGCACACACAGGCCATTGCCCTGAGTGACATTTTTGGATGTCCAGCAGGTGGAGCAGCAGTCCCACTGGTTAGGGGCTGGGGACCACAGTCATGTTCTGCCTCTGTGAAGGTATTCTCTCCTGCAGGACAGTCACATATTGCATTTTCTTTGCTTTTGTAGCCTTCTGATGTTGTGTTGTGGCAGATGAAAATCTTTAAGTTCCGTGTAGAGGAAACGGCACTACATGAGCTGTGCTGATACAGTGAACGTGTTGTTAATGTTTTGTGTGCTATTGCAGAGAATATGGCACTTCCCAGAAGAAGTAGAAAAGTTAGCTAAAGAAGTGAAGAAGATAAGCAGGTGGTTTCTTGTTTTGTTGTTTCTTCATTTTGGGTTTTTTAAAATCTGAACAGATCACAGTAGGAAGATTCAATAATACTTATTACATATGAAAAAAGACAGGAGGTGATGGCAGGCCCAATGTCATGTTACCCAAGGTTGGCTTCCAGATATGCTACTTTTTTTTGGTGCAGTATCCTAGCATATAGATGGATGCTGGAGGATTGTTCAGTTATTTTTGTGTTTCTGCTCTTATTCTTTCATGAGAGTTTTTATGTGATTTGTTCAGAAAAATATTGAACTCATTTGAGGCAGATAGTACACACTGGCAATGAGGGCTGTCTCTTACACTAGTATATACTTAGTTATCTAGTATTATTTTTTGCTCTGGAATACCTGTTTGTTTTTCTGCACAACAGGTGAAAACTGTGTGGAAAAATCCAGTTGCTTTTCAGTCCATTGTATACCCAATTTGTGAGACAAAAGGCACATAGGTTTGGAAGATAATCAAAGAGTGTGGGTATCTGTACAGAGACCCAGAGCCAATCCTTTAGTGTGGAAGACAGAGTGCAGATTACTATTTCTTTCAGTGAAGTTGTCTTCATCTAAATTTGCCTTGGGGATAACACTAGTTTTGTCTCTGCTATTCAGAGTGCGTGTTCTTGGTCTGTTCTGTAGCTGACTATGCACCGTGTCACCTATGGAGTCCAAATATATATATTGCATGCACACAGAGGCCTCAGTAAGCTTGGGAATAAGTGACTGACTTGCCTTCTGTTTGGTGGGAGCTGCTTCTATGTTTCTGTCTCAAGTTTTCTCACTTTTTTCATGTCATACAAAGGTGAATGCTGCAGCCTAGGGGCCACAGTAGGGTGGTGGTACCATCTTCTCAACCATACTGTATGATTAGTTGCTGCTGTGAAACGCTTGAAAATCTGTCACAAGTAGCATGCAATTTTGTAACTAATGTAGATGATCCAAGAAGTCTTAAGCTACTGCACCCCAGAATAAGCATTCATTATGCTAGTGTGTGACTGTTGTAATTAATCAGATGTTGCACCTGAAATTGCATTAAAATAATGTATTGTTCCGAATCCATAATCAGGTAAGGTAATAAGACCAAGTTTAGTTTCCTATTGATCAAACTAGTTAAGAAGGTATCTCAGAGAACAGACGGTAAAAGCAAACTTGAACTGCTGAAGTATAGAGGAAGAAAACCACTCCCAAATTATATTAATTGAAACACGAATACTTGTATTTAAGGTAATCTGTGGAGTACAAGTCTGATGTATAGAGACTTATTTTTATGATTTCCACTAGATATTTATGAAATTGTTATTTGACCATTAATCTGCCCTTTTAGTGTTAATATTAAGTTCAAACAAATACAGGTAAATCTGATCTGGACATTACCTGAAATTCAAAAAGTATTCAGGACTCGACATTATCAAACCTTTGCATCAAAATGATTGTCAGATTGCATCATTGCTTAAAAACTTTTAAGCATTAATTCACAACTTATTTTTTCTTCTCCCTTTTTTGAGGTTGGAGATGAGATAGTTCGTATAAATGGATATTCCATTTCATCATGCACACATGAAGAAGTCATAAACCTCATTCGTACAAAGAAAATAGTGTCCATAAAAGTAAGACGTAAGTAACAAAAAAATCCCCTGTATCACTAATTATTAGATTGCTAGTGATGTGTAGAAAGTGTTACTTAACAGAGTATTGTTCTTTTGCAGATATTGGCATGATACCTGTCAAAAGGTAATGGTATTTAATTTGAAAACAAATTTGATTATTCATTTTCATGTAGTCTCTTCAATATTCAAAGAATCTCTGTGTTTATCTGTATATTTGAAAATGTGTGAATGGGCATGTCTGTAGCTGATTAAAATGTCACGCCCTTTGTGATAAACAAGCAAATGTCTTGTTTGACAAATCTGACTTCTTATGCCAGTTGCCTACTTTATTGAACCAATTTCTATTTCCTCATTATTTGTGGATATTGCCTGGAAATTTTATTATCAATGCACCTAGCTTAATAGAGAGCTCCACTGCTTCTCTATGTACTTAACATTTCAGGATTGTTTCAGAGCTTAGAAAATCTCAAGTTATTGTCTTCTTCCAATTTTTGTTGAAAAATTGAAACTTTAAGTGAAATGTCTGATAAATCTTAATGACAGGAGGTGTCTCTCTGCATAGGTAGTTATGTAAGCTATTCAAGTAATTATTATTATTTTCAGTGTTTCTTAGAGTTTCCCAAAAATATTTCACTTGAGGAGGTTTCCTCAATTTTATATTTGATCAGCTTTACTAGCCTAAATAGTTGTATGCTTGTTTGATATTGTATTTAAATTGCTGGAAAATAAACCAGTTGTGTTGCTCCCAAAGGAGCCTGTGGATGCAAGCAGTATAGGCCACATTCCAAAGTAGCTTTTTGAATACATTCACATTTATTTTGTCCCCATTATTTTAAAAGTACATTTTCCTTCCAGTTCAGCAGATGAACCCCTCAAGTGGCAATATGTGGACCAGTTTGTGTCAGACTCTGGGGTAAGAGATCAATATTTTATTAAGATGTCTTCTGGGAAATCTGTAATGGTTCGGAAACACTTTCTCCTCTGACCTTATCACAAAAGTTATTGTGTGTATTTCTATGATACCACCATATCTTGTTACAAGTGTTCTGGGAGAAACATCTTTTGTGATATGAAACTATTCTAGAATCTTTAGATAAGGAAAAGGCAGGATACAAATGATCTATCTTTTACTTATTAACTGGTACATTATTTCGCTTGAGCTTATTAACTTGCCAAGCCATTCTACTGTATAAATCTTTGACAGATTATTTGGCCTATTTTAGCTACATTAGTGGAGGAATGAGAGGTATGAATGCAAGTGACTTTTATGGGTTGCAGCAGTGAAAAGAAAGACCGCAATTACCATTCTTTTGCTTTCAGGAAGAAAAACTTAGTTAAATAGTGAGCACTATCATGTATTTTTCCAGCTCTTTTGTCAAGGAACATCTAAATGATTATTTTCCCATATCGCTTTCCTCTAATTTTCCTTCACCCTTTTCTGAAGACAAAGTTTGACTATTTAAACAGTCTTCTCCAAATAGAAAGATAAGTCCAGTCTTTCACCTCAGCTGTGCAACTCCACTGAAATGACTGTACTTCACATTCATCTCCAGCAGGACCTCGGAGGAATCTTATCTTGATGTTGGCAGGGTGTGTTCCTGGCTTCGTGAAGTTTTATAGTAGTCTTGATAAGACTTCAACACAGAGTAATATCTGCAGCACTTTTTATTCCCCCTACAGGAAGGAAAGGGCAGTGTTGCTGGTCTTGCTTCTTCTGGAGGGAGGAACAATAAAGAGAAGAAAGTCTTCATTAGCTTGATTGGTACAAAAGGCATGGGATGCAGGTGGGTATGTGTTCCTTCCTTAATGTCACTGGTTTGTTAAGCAAGACATCCAAGGGAGTTATTTCCATCCTTAACGGATATGATATCAGAAGAATTGGGATCCATGCTGGGTCAGGAAGGCAAACTGGAACAGAAGGATATCTGTGGCACAAGTTATGTATTACTAGACAAAGCATAAATACCTACGTTACAAGTTCTGACTTAAACCAAAAAAAATTTTAAATTCAAAAATAAGAGCAGGCTGAAAGTGACGTAATACAAGTTGTCATGGAATTGGATCTTTTAAATGTGTTTACATTTAGGAATAATTCTAAAGGCTGGTCTGTGAAGTAGCACGTTCCAGTACTGTCCAGTGTCAGGCTCACTCCCTGAACTTAGAATGCCTTCTATGACCCTTTTCAGAACTGAGAAGCCATCACACAGCTATATCCAGTTCCTAAAAGTAATGTTGAATTTGCAAGATTTTTAGCAATGTGAACTGGTGCTTCTCAGACTCCTGTCTTTGTAGCTAGCTATGGAGGTTTTGGGGTGGAAGGGATATTGTAGGATTTCTTATATATTTAGGAATATATAGTTGAAGTTATCAAGATTGAACTGCACAGAATATTTTCTAAAGCAGAAGTTTACTTTCCTATTATTTGGAAGATCTAAAGGTTTTTAAAAAAATTATTTGCAGACCTGGAGGGGTGGTTCAGCATCACCTGCTGGATATATTATCTACAAAAATCGTTGCTGTGTTTGGGGCCAGCTTAGACTGCAGCTTAAAGTTTCCAGGCTAGATGTTGGCCCCTGGTTGAAACATCTTTCTTGCTCCTAATAAATAATCCTGAAAAATAACATTGTATTATACAGATAGTATACTGCAGTTCAGCGAGTAGAAGTGCAAGCAATTAGTAATTCTTCATTGTGTTACATGCTTGTTTTCCAATGTCATTAGTGTCCCAGTCCCTTTGACAGTGTAGGTCAGTATGCTATGTTAGTTTCAACATCTAAGGAAAAATCCAGAAGCTTGAATATTTTTCTTTTAGCTTTTTCTTAAATCACAGTTTTGTGGTGTGAAGGATAGAAAGGTAGGATGATAAACTATTGTGTGTGTACTGGCAGATTTTGGTGTTTGTTTCGGAGTAGGCTAATACCACAACATTCTTCAATCAGAAACAAATTATGAGAAAACAACAATGACTTCTCACTGCATTACACTGTATTATTATTCTTATTATGTTTTTTTATGTTACACCAGTATTTCCAGTGGTCCAACACAAAAACCAGGCATTTTTATTAGCAATGTTAAGCCGGGTTCTCTTTCTGCAGAGGTGGGCTTAGAGGTAAGTACGCCACCTTCCAAGGTAGGTAACACAGGGAAGTTTTGTTTGGTATTTACTACTTCAAGGATTCTGGGTCACTGTAAAGTCACTAGCTGTGTTTGGTTTTCTTTTTCCATTGGAAAGAAATACTGTATGGTTACATGTCAAATGAAGTGAGTTTCCTAAACTTTAAGGACATGAGAAGTGCCCTCATGGGTCAGACCAGTAGTCTATGGAGCTCAGTACTGAGTCTCAGACAGTGGCAATAGGAAATGCTAATATGGGAGGATATGCAGGCCTGGACAGTTTCTGGTCTGTTCCCTTGTACTCTACCAGTAGCCATGATTATTGTGTTAAGAAGGTTAGAGAGTATATCTTTTTTAATTTAATGTATGTACTAATTTAGCATCTGTACTAAAATTTGAATTAACTCCTCTAGGTTGGTGATCAGATTGTTGAGGTAAATGGAGTGGACTTTTCTAATGTGGATCATAAAGAGGTAAGGTGTTCCTAATTCCCCAAATACATAGTTGTGAGCTTACTAAGCATCTGTGTGGCTTTCCTGGCTACAAGAATGTCTTGATGTCGGGCTACTTAACCAAAGAGGTTGTGTATTGAACATGGGAATTTGGAGATTTGAATACCTACCACCCTGTTCAATTCAGGTGGGTCTTCTGGAAATTCCAGCCTTGACAGCCAGCATCTTTCTTCTTATATATGCAAGCCTTTTGTCACTTAATTCAGAGTGATTTTTGTTTTGTTTTAATTTGCAGGCTGTTAGAGTGCTCAAAAGTAGCCGTACTTTGACTATCTCTGTGGTAGCAGGCGCTGTAAGTAGTGTGTTTGTAAACGCAGAATATTTGTGAAAATTATTATGTAGACAAATAAATTGTAAAAATAAATAAGAAGTAAAGCTGTGTTTCATTATAATGTCTATACTACTAAATTCTGTCAAACCAGGGCAGTGTTGAGTGGCTTTTGGTTATTTAATTGCTAATTGTTCACAGTATTCTCAAAACAGTTTCATGGCCATGGGCCAGCGCAAAACTGTTCCCTTGACAAAGAATGGAAATTAACTTTATCGTAATGGTTTCTCATGTCTGAGATCTTCTGTTCTAATAGATAGCCGCTTCTGCTGAAACATGAAAGGTGAATTGGATTGGACTCAATTAATTTTTCCTTCTGAATAGCTCATATATTAGTCTTAATCCAAATTAATTCCTTGTGTAACTGTTTATCTGATCTCTTTAGTGTATCAACACATTGAAAATTGTTCAATTTTCCATTTCCGCTGTTTTGTACAACAGAACTATAGACCTTTGGCGCCTAATCTGAAGCCAGCTGAAATTAGTTAAATCTTCCCATTGACTTCAGAGTAGCTTTCAGTAAATGTTTTAAGGTTTTCACTGTTTTAATCCTCCTTATAGTAAAATGCATTGTTATGTACAAGAGGATACTCAAGTTCCATAGACTAATCAAATAAGGTGTTTTCTAATTGCCTTGCAGCTGAACTAAATAGGGAAAACGAGATTTAATCTTTTAAGCTACTTCCTAACAGTTCATGCATACTGTGTAGCTATATTAAGGAATTAGTGGTTTAATTCAAGCACTCTTACACTAAGAAAAAATGCAGTTGCCCAAAGGCATCATAGACATTGTTTAAACAAATGTTTCAGACTAGCTGTTTAAGCTCCAGGAACTCAACATCCTAAGGACTTAGTTTTGACTCCCAGATATGTTACCAACTGTTAGAAAAGGTGGGATCTAGTCCAGCATATACCACTGGAATTGCATCCTTAAAGTGGTGAATTTTTGCTATGGAACTCTTCTGCTCCACCCTACTTCACCTTGCATGTCTCCTCTTCCCTCAGTACTCATCTCTGTACTGAAGAAGAGGTTGCAAAAGGAAGCAGCTCCTCTGCTCCTGATTTTGGTCAGCAAAGACCATGGTGCAAAGGTGTTCTTCACTGCCTGTTTTGCTCAAGTTATCTACTTTGAGCCTTAGAGACGTGAAAAAGTCTGCCTTCCTAATTAACATGGGATTTTAATAAATGTTATCAAAGTGTTCCACAAATAGCACCATGGAAATATTGAATTGAATAGAAAATAGAAATTGAACAGAAAATAGTGCTGGTGTCGTAACTGTAAAGCAAATGAAACAGGAACAAAAACAACTGAAACACATCACCTATACATAACCTTTTAGCAATGTGTGTTCCCTTTGTTTGGGTTCCTGAATTTCCTCAGCAGCCAAACACAAGAGCACTGAAACTCAGTAACTGTGTAGTTGTCTTGCACACTGGGATTCGTTCAGTGTGCTGTTTTCTAGCATTGCATTGCTTAGATTTCAAGAAAGTATAAAGTGGAGTTTTTTTTCTGGGTGACAGACTGAGCATGTCTTTGGCATGACCCTACATTGTTATTGCTGCTTCAGTAGTTGCATGCCTCTTCTGAGGTGTTTAGCATGTCATAACCTTAAGACTGAAAGTGGAGTAGCTCTTTGGAATGACATGTTCATATCTTTGAGGGCCTTTCAGAAAGTGTTCCTCAAAAAAGTAACGTGAGGAACTGGCAGATGTGCTAGTACATAATTGGTTTTGAATTATTTCCTAGAACGTCTACATTCATGAGATTTTTTTCACAACTTATTTTGGTGCTGGTTCTGATTGCAGGGAAAGGAGCTGTTCATGACTGAAGAAGAAAGGCAGAGAGAAGCACGTCTCCGTGAGCAAGAACGTCAGGAGTTAATGCATCAGAAGCGACTTGCACTGGAGACTAACAAAATCATCAAAGAGCAGCAAGAGAAAGAGAGATTGTAAGGACTCTGCATAGGACAGTCTGAAAAGTTTAGCTTGGATTTGCAAGACAGGAACAACTGTGAAAAGATTCCCAACTTAGATTAACTTAATTTTGCTGTTGCAGATTCTCTGTTCATAAATCCTTATCCTGTGGTGCTCTTGATGTTGTAGATTTTCGAAGTTAATAGCATTCAAACACATCTTGAGTGAAGGGTCGCTTTGTTCCCTGACCATCAGACCCCTGTGATTCAGTGTGATGCTATTTTCTTGGTGCCATTCCCTCATCCTTTATTTTTAGCAGGATGGATGGTTACAAATTTTATACTCTCACGATAGCACACTGGAATTGTCTCAGAAGGAGATAGTGACTTACAGAATTAAATAGGTGATATGCTGTTATTATCCAGGTGGTCATGAGTGTCCTCAGGGTTCCTATGAAAGTATATTGAACCCTTGGTATCTTAAAGACAACTTTTGAAAATGAGCATTTTTCCCCAATGCATATGTATGCGTAGTTACTGTCTATATCTTTTACTAACTATGTGCTGACACACTTTGTGCAAGTTCTTACTCAGAAAATATTTTTATCATTATGTCCTAATTCCTCTTATAGAAGAAAACTGGAGATTTCCCAGAAGGCTGCAGAGGAAGAAGAGAGATATCGCAGAGAAATAGAGCAGTAAGTAAAAACCTACACTGGCAATATGCTTGCCTGAAAAAGAGTCCTTAAATATTTGATCTGGCTGAAAACATTCTGCATGTTCTTTTCTAATAAAATTGTATACATTTCCTTTTAGCTAAATGTAGAGTCCAATGCATTTGAGTGAATACGCCACAGTTATGGAATAGGAAACTGATCTGAAAATCAGCACCTGGAAAATGTGAGGGTTATGGTGATAATAAATTCAGTGTGAAATTGAAGTTGGGTCCTTATTTTAAAAATATGTTATAAATGTATAGAGAAGCTTAAGATTAAGTCAGTTCTGTGTCTTAGAACTTGTTTGCTCTGTTTTCAGTGAACTGCAACTTTCAAATCTAACAGGAAAAAAAATACTGTAAGGAAAACGATCAGGGAAGAAGCAGAAAAGAATGACTAAAGGGTTGGAAAACATGCATATACTCAAGGGCTTGATAACATATTCAATTAGCTTATATTTAAAATAACACCAAACAAAAAACAGGTAGTTTGTTCACTGTCTGTGAGAGTGTACACAGTGTGGAATTTAATATCCTTTTCTGAAAACAAAAGCTATGTATATTTAGGCTAAAGTAAGGACTATGCGATGCTGATTGTCTTGAGTGGAAATTTCAGTCAAATTTTAAGTAGGCTTTTGCTTTTCTAAGGAGAGAATTAATTAAATTAAAAGTGTGGCACTGAAAGGAGAAAGTTCTATTTTATTCAGGAAGTCCGATTTTTATTATCACAGTCTACTCTGGTTTTAAAAATCTGTGATTCTAGGAATTTGACACATTCAAAGATTGTATCATAATAAGGTCAATACTATAAATGTAACTTAAGCATTGTTTTACATTTGAAACTTTAACCAGTATAACATGTTGTTGTTGTCACAGTTAATTTACTTTCTAAATTACAGAATGATTTGGGGTGAAAGGGACCTGAAAGATCATCTGGTTCCAACCCCTTGCCATGGGCAGGGACACCTCCCACTAGCCCAGGTTGCTCAAAGCCTCATCCAGCCTGGCCTTGAACCCCTCCAGGGATGGGGCATCCACAGCTTCTCTGGGCAACCTGGGCCACTGCCTCACCACCTTCATAGTAATGAATTTCTTCCTAATATCTAATCTAAATCTACCCTCTTTCAGTTTAAGATTAAAACGAGGGTCCTATCACTACACTCCCTGATAAAGAGTGCCTCCCCATCTTTCATGATCTTGGGAAATTGCATGGAAGATAGTGTGAAATTGTACAGTATCTGTTTTGATGCAGCCTTTCAGAGCTAAGATAGACCCTGAAGTATTCAGTTTTGCACGTCTGACATCTTAAACAGTTTTTAATTCATATTCATTCACTTAAGTCCCTTTTCATGTACCTGTATTAGCTAAAACTTTCTGACAGAAAAAGGGCAGGGATATCTGAATCTGTGAGGTACAGAAGGGAGTATATTCCCCAGCTGTCACAAGAGGAAAATCTTCTAATAGTCCTGCTGTCAGCTCTACTGCAGCATGTGGATGAATTTTTTCACATTTTCCTTTTATAATTCCTGGGGAATGGATAATGTCCTGTTCTTTGTTGTGGTCTGCTGTAGAAATTCCTGCAGTAGCCATGGAAAGCTGCTATAAAGGCACCATCTCAGGTGAAGAATGATTCCTTTCTCCAAATCCAGATCTCCTGTCTGTTAGAATGAATGTTCACTTTCTGCAGTATCCTTCTGAACTAAGTGCATCTTTACTCATGCACTGAGGACTTTGATGACTAGGCTGCCTTGGGGCCTGTTCATTGTAAGGTCTAGCACATCTCCCTTGTTTAATTTCCAAGTGCTACTCAGGCATTTGTTAAGTTTTTCCATATTACAGCCCACACTGGCTAAGTCAGTGTCAATCTCCTTGGTGTAGGAGACGGAGGATGTTAGTATAGGAACTTAAGTATTGTAGAGCTTAGACTTAATGAGCAATTGCAGACAGGCAGTTTCACTAAACAGAATGCTTTCCTGAATTAACAGTTTGTGAGGATGACCCTTTGCTCCATTTTTTAAAATCCTTTCTGCAGGAATTCCTTGTATAATGTCACTGTGCCCTTTATTAGTATCCTGCATACAGTTTAGGAAAAAATTTCAAATGTGCCTAAATGGCAGAGGTCCTTAACTCTGTGTACTTAAAATTACTTGTAACCCCATATTTTTTTTTTAATTAAAATGAAATGTAATAACAAATCTAAACATTCTGTCCAGTGTTCCCCGCTATTGACTATGCCTTCAAATTTAAATAGTGACCTCAGTGCAGATTTAATAGTGACTTGACCACATGTAGATATTTTTAAAATTTACCTTAGCTGTTTTAGAGATGCAAAAGGTAATCTAAGTATAAATAGCATCGTTATAGATCTAAGACCTGCTAAATTTCAGCACCATTGATCAGTTTACCGGTTCAAGACAGGCTACGGCCAAGAATAGATCTTGGATTACTTAAAGGTGCCTTATAGGAAGCTATTAGGTTTTACAGCAGTTGTCTTGTGACCTATCTGGGATTTGCTGAATTTTCCTACAAAATGTGCTTTTTTTGATCATAGTGCTTTTGTAGGTACTTTCTAGGTAATTTCCGTGTTTTATGAACCCCTTTGTCCTGAAGTGTGACAATTCTTTTTTTTTCTTTTTTTTTTTTCTTTTTTTTCTCCCTAGAATGGTGAATTTAATGTGGTTTGTATCTCATCAGTATTCAGGTTTTTTTTGGGAAGAGTCACTTTTTAGTGTAGCCTAGGACTATATTTTTAGGAAGCAATAATCAAAATGGAGCTAAGATCTAGAAATAAGACACACACACTTTTTAGGTATAATTTACCATTGTAAAATATGATTTAGGCATGTGGTAGATGGTCTGTTAATTAGTATTTTAATTAAAACTATTTTTCTAACAGATGCTTCCCAGTTCTAAAAATAAAAAATTATTAGGTGAGAGATGGTTTTTGTCTTCAGTTAAGGTGGCAGTCAGTGTTGTTTTTTATCACTCTGGGCTTATTATCTGTGCAGGTGTTTATATAACTGGCCTTCGAATTCTCAATATTAAAATAAGACTATTCTGCTAGTTATATTTTACAAATTATCTTACTGCCTTAATAAATGAAATTTCGATTGATTAAAAGAATTTGGTTTGGGGGAAGAGGCAATTTATTATGCTTTATATTAAAGATAAACATACTAAATACCAAATAGTTGTAATGAATTTATATTGATGCTGTAGGTTTTATACTAAGAATTCCTAGCTACATATTTTTTTACCTGTAGGATAACAGCAGAGGAAGAGAAATTTAAAAAGGAGTGGGAAGAGGACTGGGGTCCTAAGGAACCTCCCAAATCTCTAAAAACTGTAACTGCAGAAGTGCACTCTGTCCCTCGTTCCAAACGCAAGAGTAAGTAATTGATTTCAGTCTGCTTCCTAGGGAAAGTATTTTATTTGTTTCAGACACATCACTGAGCTGTATGGAATATATCACCAGTTTGTGTCCAAGCCCAGCTAGGTATAACTTGGTTCTTTTCAGAAGGCTGGAAGCATAGATAAATTAATTTAACTGCTCTTATTTAACAGGTACCTAGCTTGCAAAATCTACATCCGCTCAAACACTCATGGTTTTTAACAATCAGCAGCAGCAGCAGGGCTCACTAAGAAATTGTCTGAAGTGTCACTCTCTTTGCCTTGGGGTTTTGATGTGTTGGTTTCCATGTTGTTTCAGTGTTTTACTTGTCAACCTTTTCACGGAACAATTCTTGGATCAGTAGACTTATGCTGATTTGCACTGTGTGTTGAAATGGAAGTAGTGCTGTGGGTTTTTTTATGTTATATGTGATCATGTTTTTATGTCCATGTGGATAAACTGATATTCAAATGCTAAGTTGTATACATATGAGAGCTTTCTTCTTAGTGAAGAAAATATACCTTATAGTAGTAATTTTTATAGTAATAAGTAATATTTTAGGATTTATGGTCATTTTGTTACTGGGTTGTGTTACCTTTGAAAATAAAGGTATGAAGAAGGGGAAACAAGTGTTTGTTTTTTTTTCCTTCCATTTGGAGTTAACTTTGAGCTTTCTGCATTAGTCATATCAGCAAATAATTTAACATCATTTTTATATTTGAGAAAGAGATCTTGGGAGGTGGAGTGTTTGAAAGTAGGAAACTAGTACTAGATTTGCAGTCTCATTTGGAGTGAATGAATGCACTTCGTACTATTCCTATTGTTACCTTTTTTCTTCTCCCTTACTCTGAATCAGAGTGGAGATTAGGGTTTTGAGTATTTTTGTCTGCTTGCTTCTAACTAGGAAAGAGATATGGAATCCTTACTTTTGGCTTGGAGGAAGTAAATTCAGTGTTTAATTTTCAGAAAAATCTGAAGATCTTTTCCCTCATCTCTTCATCAAGACCTTGGTCCTCTCTTATTTTGGCAGTCTTTGGCACCTGTAGGAATGTCTTGAAGCTCCCTTGTTTCTCTTCCATGAAGAGGAGTAAACAATATATTGAATGTGATAAAAAAAATACAACAGAAGCCACTGTTGCAAAACAATAAGCCACTAGACAAAAAAAAGAGAAAAATCAAAGATTCTTAAGAATCAGCAACTTTAAGTGTTTTTCCAGGGTCTTTTGACAAATCTGTTTCTTGCCAGTATGCCTTTCACATCTAATTTTCCTTCTCAGACTAAAGTATTTATCACATAATTTTTTATGCATATGACTTTTTTCAGTTCACGCTTTTTTGACAACTATCTTGAAAATGAAGTGATGATGGCGTAACAATTTAGTGACCAGATCGTGAGAAAGCTTGGCATGTTTCTCAGAATTTGCAAAATTCCCGCATCTGTCCATGAGGTGCTGTATGTAGTAGCAGATCTGTTAATGCCTTAAATAGACCATCTGTCAGATTGGAGAGAAAAAAAAATCCTGATTTTTCAAATGTGGATTATGTGTGAACTTTGAAATACCTTTTTTTTACTTTTTTTTTTTCTTTATATTCCCCTCCTACTATAATTTTCCTTGCTGGATGTCTCTCTTTCCTACCTTGATCTCCTTTTTTCTTTCCAGCGTTGTCCAAAGGAGTTTAAGATGCTTGGAGCTTAATTTGCAGTTAAGAAACTAAGTGGGGAGCTATAGATAGTATGTGGAGAGCGTACTGAATTAGTATTAGACAAAGGAAAAAGTGAAAAGTGATTGTGAGCAGGTATTGCGTAACTTAAGGGATACCTGGGTCACTTCCTAACCTGATTACATCATTTATTGTGTGACCTGAGTTGCTTAACTTTTCACGGATGAGAAACTGAGATGGAGTAATGTTTCTTCTACAATCAACTTCTACCCATTTAGTTTTCTGATTCTTCAGGACAGTTTTGTCTTTGTGTCTAGTGTTTACCCCAGTGACAGCACAGTATAAGGCTGATATTTCATTTTGAAGCCAGATATCCCAGAACTGCTAATAGTTTAATTACAGGGAAAGCTACCTACCTCTATGGCCTTCCTTTCATAGCAGAGCAGACTAATTGACCATATGCAGATCCTAACTGCTCTTCAGGGTTGAAGGAAGTTGGAAATCAGTCTGATTGAAGCAGGAGTTTTTTCCAATTCTGTGGAAACAGTATCCTGTTGCTAACTTCTTTTTATTTAATGGAAACTTCTAGTCACACATTGCTGATCTCTTTTTCATTTCATGGGAACCTCCAGTTAGACTGTCATTTCTATCTCCTCACTTCTTTCCTCCTTTGTTTCTCTAGTAGATTTAGAGGGAATTGCACATGACGAACTTGAAACAGATGACATGGATGAAGTGCTCATGAAGCAGGACAAACAGGTTTGCTGCTCAGCCATAACTTCCTATCCTGATTCAGATTCTTCCTGTGTTTCCCTTCCTCCTGACAGTCAGTCTTGACACTGAACTGATCATTTGGTTTTGCTAGGGCAGTATGCGTGCTCCTTTGGTAAATGATGAAAGGTTATGACACTGTTGCTGTCATTGCTTTCTAAAGATACCATGATACAAATACAAAATCTGTCAGTCCTACAGAAAGGTGGATTGTATTGAGAGCTGTGTCTGTTATCAGTGTTTCTTACATAAATTACGGTAATGAATTATTTTGTGTTTTTACTTAGCAACATGTGTGTTAATATTTATGCACTTGGCTCAGAATATTTTAGCCTAGGAAACTGAGCTTTTCTTGTCTCCTCAGATGCCACTGTGTTCTGCCACAAGCTTGAATGAGTTTGAATAACTGTTTCATTTCAATAAGGTGTGTTAAAACTAGTGTAAAATAGGATTATGACCGTAGGAATCTTAACAATTAATATGGCTGTATGCTTCTGTATGAAGATTACTTGTTGCATTTGCTTTGTTTAATGTAAAATGTGTGTCAGTAAAACAAGGGTAACTTGTGACTAAATGCGTTGATCAATAAGTCATCTAAGAACTTGTCATGTGAAATCAAGCCTTTGGTGTTGTGCCTTCAAATAAATTTTATTCAGCTACATGTATAGGCATGGATTGACCTGAATCTGAACCAATCCTTGACTTTTCTTCAAAAAACAACTTTTCCTTTACATTTTTGTAGCTTTTGGATGGTTTTATCGATATGAAGGAAAATTTCCCACAATCCGCAAGGTACAAAGTTTGATATGTGAATTTGTTTGCCGTGTGTTTCAATTTTACTTCCTCTCTTTTCTTTGTTATTATTAGACATTCTATATAGTCAAATGCTTCTTCTTTTAACATGTGCACGTATGAAGATGTGTTTGGGGTGCACCTGCCTAGGACTTTGTCCTTTTGGATATGTTGGGCTTTTCAAGTCCTGCCAGCTGCAGTAGGAAGTGTATGTCAATACTTTGCAGAAGGTGTTCATTACAGGTGGGCAGTGCGTGTCTTTATCTTCTTCAAAAGTCCTCAGAATAATGTATTAAAAAAAAAAAAAAGTAAAGAGACAAATTCAGTGCGAACCAAGCATGCAGTTCCCAGTTATACCTTTGCAAATCTTGCAGTAAGAGGAGTGTTGAAGGCAAAAAGCTTTTAGGCATGTACATCACACAGAATGAGCAAATACAATAGTTCACTCACATGAGTAGATTTTAGGAGCTGTAGGAGCTACTTGGTCTTCATGATGCAGTGTTCTGTCTTCATGATGCAGTGTCCTTTCCTGAGAGCAATTAAGTGTCTGCACGAATCTAAGCCTTTCCTTTGTAATTGCCTATTTTGGTTGTGTTAAGGCATGCAATGCTGGTTTTAGGACATATGCATGAAGATATTCACATCTACCTGTACATGAGCATCTGTCACCTGAAAGCAGTCTGTCTTGTATTTATGTAAAAATGCCAGAACAGAAAGATGGCAAATCAAGACCTAACCAAAACTGTTTGAATATTCAACATTTAATAGTGGGGCTGTGTGCCCTAACGTTGTAATTTTTCAGAGGAGCACAAAAGTTGAACTGTCTGATCTTGTCCAACTTATGTTAATGTGTACAGGCCATCCAAATAAGGTATAATTTCCTACAAAGTGCTGAGGAAATGGGCTTTAGGTTTTCTTTTAAAAGACCATGCCCGTACTTGCACAGACTGTAGCTAAATTTTCAAGGCAGACACTCATGTACTGAGCTTGAAGTTTGTGAAGTGTTTACCTGATGTAAAAATCTGTTTAACTGAAAAAAAACCAAAACAAAACAAACCCAAACCAAAAAACCAAAACCACCAAAACTTCCCAAAGAGCGAAAGAAGTCAAAAAGTGACAGTCTGTGCGAACTGAAGAAGAATAAAAAGGAAATGGAATTTGAGCAAAAACTTGCCAAAGAGAAAGAAGGAATGTTGGAGAAAGAAAAACAACTGAAAATAAATCGTCTTGTGCAAGAGGTACGTGGTGTTCTATCAAGTGCAAAATTATATTGAAAGAAGATTAGCTGAATCTTTAGTGGAATTATCTTAGCAGACCATTTGTTTAATTATGTCAAAGATAATGAAGTTTAAAAAAATTGCTATTTCACTGCATAACTCTGTTCCCATGTTTGTTTCTACAGTCAGTTTTTGCCCAAATGAGGGTACCTCTGCAGTTAACTGAGTGTCCATGCACAGTGATGAATTTAATGCAAGACAGCAAAATAGGAAATAATTCCCAGAAGCATGATTAGTTTTAAAACTAATTTAAGTTACATTTAATAGTTTTGAAACATTTGTACTATAACTATACCTAAACCTTTTTTCATGAACTGATGTTATGGTTAAGGTATCTGAGACAGAACGAGAAGACCTGGAAGAATCAGAAAAGGTGCAGCATTGGGTGGAAAGACTTTGTCAGACACGGTTAGAACAGATTTCCTCTGTGGAAAATGAGTCTCCTGAGGTAAAATTGTGGCTCCTCTATATTTTATGATTTCTAAATAGCTAACTAGTTGTCTCCTAAAAGCAAGAGGTTTTTACTGGAGAAAAATCTGTCTTAATCTTTCCCTCTCAGCCTTCATTCTAAGAGGGGAAAAAAATGCCAATAATTGATGAATTACAATCTATAGCATTTGCTGCTCCTATATTTTATGGGAATTTTTTTATTATTTTAATGAACTGGTTTTATTTTGTCCCTTTTAAGTATCCTGTCACCAGAAAATTAACAATTTTATTGGCTTCTGAGCTGTTTGGGCTAAGTGGGATGTGCTGCCAATAAAGTTGAGACTAGAATGCCCAGCCATAAATTTTAGTATCCTACACAAACAAAAACATAATTTATGACGAAATCTTGTATGTTTCCTTGCATTGCATGGAATAAAGGTACAGGTTAAGAAAGTAGCAAAAAAAAAAAAAAAATCCTGAAGAATAGGGTTTGGTTTTGTGTTTTAATCAGTCCCTTTAAACAAAGGGAGTTGTGGATAATGATTGTGCTTTAGAGCCTCATGGTTCTAGATGTGGAGTGAGGCTTTCCCACCATCCTGCTGCTCTGGCTGTCTTCCAAGCACAGCTGCTTTCAAGAGGAACACTGCAATCTGCTGAACTCCCCCGGGATCCCCGAGAAATTGCAACCACAAAAGGGACCCTTGGGGAACACTCTCTCATGAATTTCCTTCAGGTCAATGTGAAGCAGCTCTGAAAAAGCAGCTGGTCTTGTGTTCTTCCTGGCCCCAAGCTCAGATTCATGTGGCTCTTCAGTTCAGGTCTCCAGGACAGTGGAATGATTATGCTGAGTTTTTCCTCGCTACCTAAATTTGGCTGCCTGTGTTCTGCTAGATCTTCGTCCCCCTTACTTTGTACGATAAGAGGGATCATTACAGGTCAAAATCTCTGGTATTTCCAGAGCTCTACCCTAATTTAAGGCAAGCACTGGGTTCTATTTGCTCCATCATTTCTTCTATTACATTATACATAAATATTCTACTACAGTTCTTCTGCGAAACTACCCAAGCAGTTAAACTCATATAAAACACAAAAGCAGAAAGCTTCTGAGAGATAAATGCAGCTGAACAATATTCAGGTACTACAGTCTTGACCCAATACTTGGGTATAAGAGCAGTCAAGATCTCTTGACCTCTGCCAAAGAAATACCTAATTTTTAGTACCAAGGGGTGAGTATGGCAGATAAGGAGATCACAAAGAATCTCAACAGAGATAACCACTTGAGGGAAGTATTGTCATATTAGAATAAGATGCACATGTCTGTAGGATAGCTCATCTCTCTAGTATTTTCCTCAGCTGAGTCTACGAAATAGCAAAATGAAAGAGTATAAGCTGGATTTTCTTAAATACTTCAATTTGATCACTGATAAAAGGCATGTTAGCAACTCAACAGCGTATGTAGAATCCTTCTTAAGGCACACAAACATTTTTTTGGGTGAGCTGCTCATTATGTTCAAACTCTGGAGTTTTAGGCCCACAGTGTATCTGGTGCTGATTAACAGAAATTAGAAAGTCCAGAACCTCCAGAGGATCTGAATTTTGTAGCAACCTAAACTTTTTGTTTTGATAGCTGCTTAAACTCACGTTCCCTTCTTGTATTACTGTCTAATGTTTACACCAGACTTTAGCCCCTTTCCCTTTTTTAGTGCCATGGAATTTCGAGGCCCATCTTTGATTACTTTCCTTTTACATAATCACCTTTGCAAGGAGCAATTGTTGCTTCGTCTTCATAAGAGCTAGAGAGGCAAGAGTTGTGTTAACTGTGATTTGTACTGCGATTTTACATTCTGAGGACTCCATGCAGGTTTTTTTTTAGGGTGGGGTGGTTTTGGGGGGTTTTTTGTGCCATCTCCCCCTGCCCCAACAGCCGAAGCTACTGTCACAGCACTCCAACTTCGTTCTTTTTAAACTGGAATCCCAAGGAATACTTTTAGAAAGGCTTTCAGAGAAAAAATGTCTGTACATTCAGTGTGGGAGAAGGCAAGAGCTCCTGTGCAGCAGCAGTTAGGCTAAGCGATGTTCTAGCATTTGCCATTAATTTCTTCAGAGCTGTTGCAGGCGGACGAACTGTTAAGGCAGATTTCTGTTCTGTTGTACGTAGTTGGCAAGTGGACGTCCTTCTGCTTCTCCTGCCATATCAATGCGGCGTTTTGCTGGTGGCCTGCAGCTTCATACCACAGATCTTGATGATATAAACTTAGATGAAGTTGACAAGCCTAAACCACGTGTGGCACCACCTCCGCCACCACCCCCCACTGTTACTCCAGCATCACCAGCTCATCTGCTTCCCACATCAAATGTTCCACTTTCAAGAGTTCCAACCCTGGCAGTAACACCAGCTTCCCAGGTGACCTTGTGATCTGTTTGGATGCATGCACCCCTGCCATTCCCCTGCCTGGCCTCTGTTCCCTGCTCCATCACCCGCTTTATCCACTGGATCTACCCATCTGCCATATGCAATGTTAAAAGAGGGAATGAGATGGTTTCGTTGTTTCATAGTAGTGAATGCAGTCCAGATATAGTTCTATTTTCATTGTTCTTTTTAAGTTTAAGTAGAGAGGGTTTTGCTCTCTCCTTCCTATGTACAGTGTAACCCTACCACAGACAGGTATCTTGGGCAGAATGTTATCAGTTAAAAGGACCATTTGGGCTTGAGTGTTTAAAGGTTAAAAAAAAGTGATGGCAGATTTAACTCGTAGTTAAATTTAAGAAAAATATC